TCAGAATGTACACTTGATGAACTCTTGATAAAAAATGATAATAATTTCTGCACTATGACCACACAGTGTCTGACTGTTTACAAAACTAAATGCCATAGAGTAGTGTGGATTAACCATGTAATAATAACTTTATTACACAAGTGCACCATCTGTGGGTGCTGTATGGTAAGAAAAAAAAATACAAAATAAAAGTTTCAAAATTACAAACTAAGGGATATATATATAAAATACGTATTACAATTAGGTTTTATAAATTGTGTTTCTTTAAGTATTTTGCAAGTGCAGTACTACTATTTAATATGCAAGTGAATATAAAATTTCGATTAGTTGCATTACACATTTTTAATTTAGCCTTCTAAAAGGGTATTTCTTTCTTGAGTGAAGAAGCAACAGTGAAGGATGAAATATATACTTACATCATGTCCTAGTGCCTTTAATATATTTAATTTACACATAGGGCAAGTCCTGTGTTCAACTAGCCACTGATCAACACATGCTTTATGAAAAAGATGTCTGCAATCAAACACAATTACTTAAGTTTACCTTTGTTTTCAGTTATGTTTAATTATCAGTTTTTCTCAACAAAAAAAAGGTGATTATTACCCCCTGAAATATCAGAATATAAACTATATTTATAAAATAACAAGTTCATCATTGAATATTTCAGTATAATCCTTGAAAAAGACAATAGCACTGGTACTAGTTTACATAACAATCATAACCATGGTAATTTTGCTCTTTTGTTTCAACCCATAACTTCCTGCATTTTGAAACACCTAGTAAGAAAATATAAAAAAATAACAACTGTATATGAAATCTAATTATTGACTTACTTGCAAGGTAATACTCTGATTACCTCTCCAGACTTGTAAGGATCTATACAAACTGCACAACACTCAGCATCAATATATGTTTCCTGTAAAAAACATAGACATTATCATAATCATGACTACACAATTGTCATAGCATGTTTCATCACTGTACTTTGTGAATCACAAATTGGTGAGACATTCATGCAATACTGCAACATTGAAAATGTCATAATAGGAAATTGTTTGAACCAGCAGGTATTACAACACTGGGAATTTTATTGACTAGAAGTGATAGATAAAGTCATCACCAGCATCTTTAAATTATCAACGACATCAAAGATTCTATAAATGACAATTCTGCAGTATAATAAAATCTGTACCACTGTATTAAGAAGTCAGGAGATCTGTACCACTGTATTAAGAAGTCAGGAGATCTGTACCACTGTATTAAGTAGTCAGAAGATCTGTACCACTGTATTAAGCAGTCAGGAGATCTGTACCACTGTATTAAGTAGTCAGAAGATCTGTACCACTGTATTAAGCAGTCAGGAGATCTGTACCACTGTATTAAGCAGTCAGGAGATCTGTACCACTGTATTAAGCAGTCAGGAGATCTGTACCACTGTATTAAGCAGTCAGGAGATCTGTACCACTGTATTAAGAAGTCAGGAGATCTGTATCACTGTATTAAAAAGTCAGGAGATCTGTACCACTGTATTAAGTAGTCAGGAGATCTGTACCACTGTATTAAGCAGTCAGGAGATCTGTATCACTGTATTAAGCAGTCAGGAGATCTGTACCACTGTATTAAGCAGTCAGGAGATCTGTACCACTGTATTAAGCAGTCAGGAGATCTGTACCACTGTATTAAGAAGTCAGGAGATCTGTATCACTGTATTAAGCAGTCACGAGATCTGTACCACTGTATTAAGCAGTCACGAGATCTGTACCACTGTATTAAGAAGTCAGAGATCTGAACCACTGTATTAAGAAGTCAGGAGATCTGTACCACTGTATCACATTTGGAGATCTCTAATTATCATTATGATGATATTATACTTACTGG